AACTCAAATTCTAAGTATTATTTTAGCTAGAAGAATGCTCATCTTATGACTTTCCTGAACCATTTCCTTCTATGTTTTTACTGGTTTATCACGCACTTTAATATTCCATCCCATATAAAAATAAATATCATTTTTTCTGTTCTTATATATTAATTTATTATGATTGACAAAAAGTTACAACGGATGCAATAACTTTAATTATCCTTTCAAATATTCTCTTAGTTTTATAGTGTTGTTTTTCATAATATTTCATTGTTTTGAAAGTATTCGTCGGATTTAGAATGTATCACTATTGAAACATTTCGCTCACAAAACGACTACAAAATAAGTTCATGGATCATATAGATGAATAGAACTATAAATAACAGCAACAAATAATCTAAAAAACGATCCATAATCATATCAGATATACGAATGAATGAGAATGAAGATGTTTACATTTAATCCACCTTATTTTCACACGGATACGTATTTTAATGAAAGAGAATCAATAATAAGACAATTTTTATTTAATATCTCTTTGTGATCAGTAATTATTTTATTCGTAAATTAATTCATTCTAATAATTTCAGAAAAATGAATGTGATTAGTGCAGAACATCTATAGAGAAATATCGTTGAGATATGAAGACAAAACTGTACACAGATCTACTTTGTCCGTTGTACAAGTGTTAGGTATCAATGCAACAAAATAATACTATTACAAACCATCTTCATTTTTTATGAAACTTGTTTATAGTATGTTGCTATTTCTAAATAGAACTCACGAAGTTCTATCAAAGAGATTCAGTTTGAACAGGGACTGATTTGTTACTCTTATATCTATATCATAAATAGAAAAAAATTATTTTCTTTCTCTTTTTGTTTGATGAATTATGCAGAAAAAAATATGCGTATGAAAATGTCAATTTATCTGTTGTAACAAATTATTTGATTTGTATTTTATTTTATTCATAATAATCAAAAGATTTAAAGTCAGCATAAGGGAAAAAGGGATATGCATTGGATTACAAACCATACCACAAGTACATCTTGACCAGATATTTAGATACGAACACAATTACATTCAAAAAGTGATTCAGAAAATAAGCAAATAGAAAACAGAGACACCCTTTGATAATTAATATGCGCTGTTAGCCAGTTAAATTTTTTTCAAACAAATTAATCAGGAAATCGTTCTGGCATCTCAAATTTTGAATAAGAGACACAATTATGTTTTCCTCTTTTTGAAGTAATGAGAATACGATAGCTTGCAAACGACAACGAATTATTGGGTATTGTTTGTGTACCACCATACGCCCGTCTTCCTGGATTTTTCGCGAGACCTGCATCACCATCATAAATCTTAGTCCAACTTCTTCCAAAAACTAAATCCAATTCTTTATTGTTGCTACCTTCAATTGCTATTGTGTTTGGATCTCGAATTGGAGAATTTTTGGAATGCAGCCATACGAAACTGCACGAGAATGAACGGTTTACTTTTGAATGTTATTTAAAAACCAGTTTTTATTCCGCATTCATCTTGTAGTGGACTATGTCCATTACAAATCCCATGATTGGAATATTCGGTATTGAAATTACCATCTAATGCAGCTTGAGGTGGTTCACTAGGCCAATATGTACCTGTGTTTTGGCCGGGAAAAGATAGTGAACGATCATTACCTGCACTTGTATTTCATATAGCATAGAAGACTTCATCTGTTCGTCAAAATATTTGTAACACTATATAAGATTACAAAAAAGAAAGAAAATTTACACTAAAGAAGAATAGAAAACTTTCCTACCAATTGGTTTTGTAACTGATGTCATTGGATTATTTTCTTTTGTAATTAATGGTGTTATGCCAGTTGATACAGTTACATTCATTATAGTTTCAGTTATTATACCTGTTTTTTACTGTTAAAACAATCATTGATGGAACTACAGTCACTACAATCATTAAAAGGATCAGACTAATCATACATAATCATTGTTTTTTATTACCAACTGGAATTCTAAAGTATTTTTACAATCTGTGATATATATACTTCAACTAATACAATTAACATACTGTGTATCTGATGATGAGATATTAATTTCTGTTGCCATTGATCTTAATTTACAATATTTTATTCTTTTTTCTGATCGTTGGTTTCTTTTCACTTGTTCACTTTTATAATTACTGACACTAAAGAGAAGAGGGAAAATCGTTGATATAATATTTTTTTCAGTCAACTATGAATAAAAAGCATTTATTTAATAAAACCGTATGTTTCTATGTTTTGTCTCGACTAACAAGACAGAAAGAGGCATTTGTGATAATTATAGAAAATATTTTTATAATATCTCAAAACTATCATTCATATGTAATTGTTTATTATTGTTTTCATAAATATATGTTGATTTCGTATTTATCAGATAACTTCAGTCAAATACCGAAAGAATTAAATTCTTCATAATCATTTCATCGTTATCGTCATTGATTAAAACAAAAAGTAATATTAATTGTGACATATGGAATAGTTTATAACAAGAAAAGAAAAAATATTTCTATGTTGATTATAAATTATACTCATGCATTCAATTTAGATATGTAATTGTTTTCTCTCATTTTGCATAGTTTTCATATACAACTCTTTAATTATTATAAAGAAAAATCTTTGGTTCTCTCGCCGTTAATGAAAAGTGAAATTTTTCAAAATTAAAAATTGAATTAATTAATTGAGTATAAGTTAAAAATCTTTATCTATTGACTTTTTTTATCAATTCAAATAATTCTATATTTATCTAACTATTTATACTTATGTTAACAATAACTGTAGATATTGTTTGCTCATTTATAAGATTTATTTAAATGAAAATTAGAAAATTTCGAATAGAATTTTGATTTTTATGAAATGACTTTCGTTCCTAACATGAATAAATATTTATCAATTGTAACTTTTGTTGATCCTAATAAATTAATCTAGAGAAGTAAAGAAATAAAGACATATTTTTTATTTGGATTTGAATATTAAAGTGTGTGCCAATCCAGTAAAAATATGAACGGAAAAAGTTAGCGAACGTCACAAGCTGACATTTTTTGTAATTAAAGTTATGTTTAGAATTTGCATTACTTGCACAGAAAAAAATAAGATAAGTGAAAGTTGATTTGTTTGAAATAATTAATATAATTCTGCACTATTTAAATTAGCAGTCTTCCCAGCTCCACCAGTAACTAATACTTTTCCATTTGATAATACAGATGCTGCATGATATTCTCGAGCATTAGTCATGTTACTAGTAGTTGTCCAAGTACCTGTTGATGGATCGTACAACTCAGTACTATCTAAAGCATTATAATTTCGCCCACCAGTGACTAATACTTTTCCATTTGATAACACAGATACTGTGTGAATACCTCGTGCATTAGTCATGTTAGTAGTTGTTGTCCAGGTACCTGTTAATGGATCATACAATTCAGCACTATTTAAAAAACCACTATTGCTATATCCTCCAGTGACTAATACTATTCCATTTGATAGTACAGATGCTGTGTGACCGCCTCGTGCATTAGTCATATTACCAGTAGCTGTCCAAGTGCCTGTTAATGGATCATATAATTCAGCATTATTTAAATAACTAGTAATAAATAATCCACCAGTAACTAATACTTTTCCATTTGATAATACAGATGCTGTGTGATATTGTCGTGCATTATTCATGTTACTAGTAGTAGTCCAAGTATTTGTTAATGGATCATACAGCTCAGCACTATTTAAACCAATACCACTGCTGCCTACTCCACCAGTAACTAATATTTTTCCATTTGGTAACGCAGATGCTGTGTGAGTACTCCGTGCATTCATCATATTACCAGTAGTTGTCCAAGTACCTGTTGATGAATCATACAGCTCAGCACTATTTAAAACACCGCTATCGTCAGCTC